TTCTGCCTCTCTGGTGCTGGGATTAAAGCTATGTACCAGGTTACTAGTACACTGTTCTTAAACCTGATGCCTTATCACCACTTAGTCTCCAGGCAGTATTAGCCCTCCACCCCTGCCTTCCAGGGTTAAACCTTCTGTGGGGCCTCATAGCCTATGGACAAAGTCCATTCCCCACAACCCAACAGTCAAAATCCCTCAAGTCTTGACTTGTCACCTGTCAAACCACTTGTGGCTCCTTAGATATGCTGTGTTATTTTTCCCCTCACATGTAAAATGTTGCAGATGCTTCCTTCCCTGGAGTCCCCCTGCCTTCCTTATCTCTGAGGATTCAACGCACATGTGAGGCACATGCAGATATCTTCACTCACACCTGGCAGGCTCTTGCTCTGTCCGCCTGTACTACTTTCAAACACAATGCACTGCAGAGTCATTTTATGCCTTTCCCTCAACTCAGAAATAAGAAATTTATGAGTGAGTTCTTCTTTATGTCTCTAGTACTTAACAGCAGGTGCAGAGACTAGTCAGGCCAGAAACAGATAGAGGAAATCCTGTGAGGGAATGTGCCTGAATGAGATTTGATCCATGCAACTCTAAGAGCAGACCAGACTCGGGGGAGACAGCTTCGGGTTCAGTTAAGGAGGTGCTGCTGAAGGGCTCAGGCCTTCTGTACATCGTAGGCAGGCCCAGAACCAATGACTATGGTGGCTGATGAGGAAGGGAGAAAGCCTGGGAAGGGGGCTGGAGGGGTAACCCCCAGCTTTTTAACCAGAATCAGGCCATACCCCATTTTGACAAATGAATCTCTAGGTACCTGGGAATCACCCCTCACTGGGGAACCAGCATGCAATGCTGCCATGATTTGATCCCACAGACTCCATCTCTCTCAAGACAGGTTTCAAGCTGGTCTGACATCACTATCATCTCTCATGGCTGGGGCCTTCATGTCTCCCTTTGGTACAAGGCATTTGCCTAAAAGCCTTTCTGCCTTTGACTAAAAGTGGACGCTTGGCCTTGGCTGATCTGCTCTTGTTGGTGAGAGACTCTGTTTTAGGGGAAACGCTGACATTCTGGGGGTTCCTACAGAGCCTTCTGGATGTGTGCTCAATCCTGGCTCTGTTCCACCTCAGTGTTGCAGTTTTCTCGACAGTGAGATATATTTTGAAGGGCTGTTGTTAGGGTAGAGGTAATGTAATAATTGATTATATAATGATGTATATAATTATACAATCAATGATCTATTATTATATATTAATATCCTAACATTCCTACTTTTAAATTTTTTAATTAAAAAAAATTAAAAATTTAAAAAGTTTACTATTTATTTTATGTGTATGAGTGTATTGCCTGCATGTACGTAGTAAGTACACCCATGATATGCAATGCCCAAGGAAGTTGGAAGAGGGTGTCGGATCCCCTGTAACTGGAGTTATGGATGGTTAACCACCATGTAGGAGCTGGAAATCAAACCTGGATCCTCAAAAGAGTAGCCAGTGCTCTTAACTGCTGAGCCATCTCTCCAGCACAACATTCCTACTTTGACCCCGTCTTTTGACTTTGTTTGTACTTCATTGCTGTGACAAAATACTCTGACCACTACCAACTTGGGGAGGAAAGGGTTTATTTATCTTACATCTCCCGGGTCACAGTTCATCAGGGAGCCCAAGGTAGGAACTCAGGGCAGGAACCTGGAGGCAGGAGCTGGAGCACAGGCCATGGAGGAACACTGCTTACTGGCTTGCTCCCCTGGCCCCTGCTCAGCCTGCTTTTCTATGCAACAGAGGCCCACCTGCCCAGGGGTGGCACCACCCACAGTGGGCTGGGCCCTCCCACATCACTCATCAACAAGATGCCCCTCAGACATGGCCACAGGCCAGTCCAATAGAGGAAATTCCCCAATTGAGGCTCCCTCAACCCAGATGTGTCAAGTTGACACTAAAGCTATCCAGCACAAGCTCTCAAAGGTTGAAAGTGTTTCCTCTGATTCAACCTTGTCCATAGCCACCAGTGCCCTTCCTTGTCACAAAGCTCTGGCCACACAGGAGCATTCCCTGCCTACAGACTTTGCCCTTGACCTCTGCTGGAGCTCCCACAGCACAATCACACTGGAGGCTGCATCTTCATGTAGGATGCTGGATTGGCCTTCTGACAGTCCCAGTGTGCTAGGGGGCCACCATGAATTTGCAGAACTCCTCTGACTTTTCAAAGTATCTTCATACATGTATCTAGGAATTTTCACCTTGACTGGTGTCTCCCATTAGCTTGTGCTGCTTAGTACCCTAACTCTTCTGCATATATTCCAGGTTATCCTTTGGCTAGCAGCTGCAAGGGGACCCCACTGAGGGTTCCCTTGCCTTGCTTTGTAAGGTCTTTGCTCTGCCTGCGGCTTGTGCCTTGCCTGGTGAGCTGGGGGATGAGGGAGGCATGAGGCAATATGTTTCTTATGCCACTTTCACTGGCATTGTGATCACAGGCGTATCAGCCTGCCACACTGGACCTTTATTACACAGGCACATTCTAGCTATCTGCAGAGGCCTGTGGTGCTGTGGAGCTGTCAAATCACTATCCCTGCCATGCAGAACAGTCCCTTCCTATAGGTCAAGCTTCTGCCCGCCTCCTCACCCCAGCATCACCCAGTCTGCCCATCCAGCTGAAGCTGGTACTGAGTGGCATCTCTGGAGGAATCCAGCAGAGGGACCTGGGCCAAAGCTTTAGCGTCCCCTTCCCCCTCTGGCCATCAGCCCTGGTGGCCCTGCCACTGTTGGTGATTGTTAGGGGAGTGCTGGGCAGACAGTGGTCAATTCAGTGAGCAGACCTCTGAGCAACAAGCCCTGTGCTGTGCCTGAGCTATTCAGTGTGGGCAGAAAAGGGTAACCAAAGCTTGTGGGTTGAACACGGTAACCCTCTGGGCTCTGGCCTGGGTTGTGGGGACACTTTCTACCACAGTTTGCTCACCTCCCACCCTATCTTGGGTGAAGTGGATAAAATGAGGGTCCCAAGGCTGTGGGAGGCCCTTGATATGATGCTCCCAGGGGATGTAGGAAGAAGAGAAGCCTTTGGGTGTGGAGGAAGGAATGTGTGCCTGGCACAGGGAGACAGAAATAAGCTGTGATCAGGAGATGGAAACATTACCCACAGGGCCTCCCTAAGATGCCAGGCAGACTACCTGGGCAGGAGGTATGGAGGCTGAGGTAGGCAGTAAGTTTGTGGGACAGGATAGTAGAGTGGCCACCCCTAGAGACTTCATCCCATGGGCTCTTTGAATAAATGCCCCATTTCAAACCCTCTCTCTGTCCCCTAACTAGAAGTTGGGGGGAAAGTTGGATATTACATCCTAGACCATGTGTGTGTGTGTGTGTGTGTGTGTGTGTGTGTGTGTGTGGTATACAAGTATTTGTAGATGTGTGTACATGCACGTGGAAGCCAGAAGACAATCTTGGGTGTCTTTCCTCAGAAGCCATCTACTTTGTTTTTGAGATGGGGTCTTGTACTGGGACCTGGGATAGACAATTAGGCTAGGCTGGCCAGCCAGTGAACCCTGGGGATACACCTGTCTCTGCCTCCTGAGCTCTGGGATTACAACTCTGGCTGTTGGCTGTTTATGTGAGTCCTGGGGTTTGAACTCTGATCCTCATGCTGGTGCAGCAAGCACTTTACCAACTGAGCTATCTCCCTAGCTCCTTCCTCAGCTCTAGGTTTAATTAATTAAAAAAACATGGCAGGGGCTGGAGAGATGAGATGGCTCAGCAGTTAAGAACACTGGTTGTTCTTGCAGAAGACCTGGGTTCAAATCCCAGCACCCACATGGCAGCCAACAGCTGTCTATAACTCCAGTCCCAGGGTATCCGACAGCCTCTTCTGTCCTCTGCGGGCATTGCAAGCATACACATAAAATAATAAGTAAAATAAAAGTGTTTTTTCGAAAAAAACATGGCAAACATTGTATGTACTTATTTTGTACTCTGTGATGTTTTGACATGTATATGCATTCTGAAATGACACTTCCTCAACCCTGAGAGGAGATAATGATAGTGCCTTTCCTGGGGGGCTGTTGGAAGGACTCAAGGCTGTCCCTGGAAAGCACATGCTAAGAACTCATTAGAGAGGATCAGGTGTCATTCCGAGACCACGGTTCTGCTGCATGGCCCTTTGCCTTGGAGACACTCTTTGATACTTACAGATCTTTCTCTCCCAAGTTTTGCATTAATCTGTGATGTGATCCCAGACCAATCCCCATACACCTTTGCCTTTTGAGATAGGGTCTCACTATGTAGCCCTGGCTGGCCTTGGACTTGCTATGTAGATAGATTGGGCCAGCCTCCAGCTTGCAGTGCTTTCCTGACCTTTGCTCCCAGCATTCTAGAATTACAGGTGTGCACTACCATGTCCAGTCTTCAGTTTCTCAACAAGGAATCCCAGGCCATACATTCTCTGTTATTTGAATTGAGGACAGGGTCTCATTAGTAGCCTTGGCTGACCTGGAAATGCCTGTGTATATCAGGCTGGCCTCAAACTTGTAATGATCCCAAGGCTGAGATTATAGGTGAGTAGTATGCTCTTTTTTCTTTTTTTTAGAGATTTATTCTTATTTTTAATTGTGTCTATGTATGTATGTATGTATGTATGTATGTATGTGTGTCAGATCCCTTTGAGCTGGAGTTATATGTAGTTGTGTACCACCCAATATGGTAACTGTGCTGGGAACTGAGCTCAAGTCCTTTGCAAGAATGCTGTGTGTTCTTAACCACTGAGCATTCTCTCCAGCTCACATTATCTGTTCTTAAACTCTAGTCTCTTGTCATTTTATTGCTGTGGAATCTGGCAAAATGACCTTGTTTAGTTTCTGCTTATGTGTAGCTCATTCAAATCCTCCCCGCCGCCACTTTGAAGTGTTTCTGTTGTAGTTTGGGTTTCTATGCACCTAGAAACTCAGGATCCAAGAGAACACAGGTCTCCAGCCTTCAAGTTCCGTGGGAGAAAGTCAGGAAGAAACCTTTTATTACCTGTTGTGAAAGATGTGAAGAGTCGGATGTTGTCCCGGGCGAGGGTTTGGTAGTAGGACCAGCTGAGGTACATCACCAGGGGCACCCAGATGATGGGGACACTGTACCTGCAGGAGGGCCATCAGGATTAGAGAGACATATGTATGAAAGGAGGAGAGGGGGGCAACAGGGTCCAGCATCTCTAGAAGCACACATCTTGAACTATGGGGCAGGCACGCAAGGTGGCACTGCGTCAAGGCACAGGCAGAAAGTATGTGGAGACCTGTGGTCACAGGGACACTGATGTGGGGAGCAGGGGAAGAGAAAAGAGAAGCCGTGAGTCTATCTGTCTGTCTCTTGAAATATCATGTGCAGAAAAAAAAAATCACGCAGCCCATGTAGCTGACTTTGTGCAGCTGAAGAGACACTGACCTCTTGCGGCAGAAGGAACTAATTGCAGGCAAAATTGTTCTCATGGACATTAGCTGTTAATACCACCTAGGAATCTAGAATACAGCAGATGCAGCATTTAAAGTGGTTTCCAGTTACACAGTAGGATGTCACCCATATAGGAGACATACTGATGTGCCAGAATTGCTATGGCTGCAACCTGTCCATCTCTCCCCAAGAGCTTATAGTACATCCTGGTATTTTAGGGAGGGACTCAATTGCCCCTTCCCTTTCTGTATCTGACTGGCATTATCAGCATTATCAGAAAAGAGGGACTGCCCATCTCAGGCCCTACAAAATGCTCACCAGACAGTTTTGGAGAGGGCCTCGATGAGGTCTGAGTGGAAGAGGCGGATGGGCCTGGTCACTGGCTGGTGCACCCACTCATCATACTTCTCCCCCAAGTAGCCCACCTGCCACAGGAGAGGCTTCTGCCAGTCCACCAGGTCCTGTAAAAGACAAGGTGGACCCTTGGTATTCATACTTCTGACATCCATTTCCAAATCCAGTTACAGCTTCCTATTCTCTAGCTCCATCTCAGCTCACATGGTCTGTATGGAGCCACCCACCCTTTTGCTTTGGGGGGAATCCAGACCTGACCACACTGCCCATTACAGCCCCTGGCTGTGGGATTCAGAACAGGCCCTTGACTTAATCTAGGGCAGAGTCATCAGATATATGTTCTTCCCACTAGAATTGCTAAATTGGCAGAGTGTGAGCCTGGAGTTGCTAGCAGAGCCTGATTGATAGTTCAGACAGCTCAGAAGATGGCCAAACCAAGAGCTAGATAGGCAAAATCCTGGTGATGGTATTTAAGAGCCCAGATTCAGCCATGATAGATTCTTTACATATAGAAGCCAATACATTCTGCATCAGAAATGAAGTAGATCCTTTCTCCTCTACCATGGGCTTTCTTCTTGATATTGACATGGATAATTCATTCATTCACTCATTCATTCAAATAATCATTCATTCAACAATTTTCTTTCTGTCTTTTTTTTTTTTTGGCCTTTTTGAGACAGGGTTTCCCTATAGCCCCAGCTGGCCCGGAACTCATAGAGATCCACCTGCTTCTGCCTCCCAAGTGCTGGGATTAAAGGCATGTGCCTGGGTTCATTCAATAATTTTCTTAACATTTAATTCATGTGTATGAAATCACAGGCATGTAAGAGACCACCTTTGTTTCATATAGCTTAGTGCTTAATCAAAGCAGAGACCTTGGAATCAGTTTGGCGTTCAAATCCTGACTCACTCACACTATTTGACTTTGGAGAAATTACATGATCTTTCTGAGCCCCACTTCCTCAGCTATAAGCTAGAACAGCATAGGGTATTCAGGAAGAGGCATGCCAAGCAAGACAGTTTGGTGCTGATTCAGGGAAGCTGAGCTGTAGAGGCAAGAGGATTGATACAAATATCTGCCCAGGTCCAGGTTAAGAAAGGAAGGCTTTGAATAGGATCTGGGTTTGTTCATCAACACTGAAGGTTTGGCTAGGAAGACAGGGGAAACAACCAAGGGAATGTGGGTACAGATGTGGAGTGGAGAATGACTGTAGCCTGTGTGGTACCTTGACACTCTGTGGATGCAGAAAGAAATTTGCTGAGGGCTCCTTTGTAGTTTATTTATTTTAATTAATTAATTAATTAATTTATTTATTATTTTGTTTATGTGTGTGTATGTGTATATACATATGCACATGTGCCACAGCACATGTGAAGTAGAGGGCAACTTTCAGGAGTTGGTTCTCCCCTTCCACCATATGTGTTCTGAGGACTACCATGTAGCAAGTGCCTTTACCAGTTGAACCATCTCACTGGTCCTATGCTGAAGGTTTAATAGGATACTCTGTTCAGATCCAGGACTTGGTCCTTCATCCGAACAGTCAGTTGTCCTCATTTCCCAATTGGTATGCATATCACAACAATACTCAAGGCTAATCCCCAGACAGAAGCTCAGAGACCCTCTAAATATCATATAATATGATATATATATAAAATCATGATACATAATCTTTAAATCATATCTAAATGTGTTCTAATGCACAGAGTACAAAATACATTAGCATATGAAAATACTTTATAGAGGTTAACATGAACACATGATGAAAAATGTGCTCAAATGTTTTACTCATGGGAATGCAGAGCAAAAACGTTTGGAGGCCACACTTCTTCTGGTTAGTGACGTACTCGACGATTTCTGATGACTTAGCCTATTGAATAAGATGAATCTGGATTCCAAACAGTAAAGGACAATGAATCTGGCATCAGGGGACCACCTTGAAAGCCTGATCTTGCCATTTATCAGCTGTGAGATTCAGGGCCAGTGTCCTTATCTCTCAGAGGCTCTCACTTCTTTGGTCTGTGAAGCTGATATCCCCACAATCTACAATCAGAGTATGTCCGATACAAGAGATCAACTTTCAGTACAAGAAAGGTGGCTACTGCAGGTGGGAGGGGTGGCAGTGAGGGACAAGGGAAGGAGAGGAAGAAGCAAGTGCTGCAAGTGGAGGGTGCGAGCCTTGGAGGGAGATCCTGCTGGGATTCTGAGAACCTGCCCTCTCACCCCTGCACAGGCCTCCTTGCCAAAGCTGGCTCAGTCCCATAGGTCTCCCAGGAACCAGCCTTCATGTGTTCCCAGCCTCTGGGTGGGTGGGTCCTGGAGCAGGCAAGCAAAGCCACTAGGCATTCTTGTTTTTGTGACCAGGGCAAGAGGTCCACATTTTACCTGGTTGCTACTCCCTTCCTAACCCCAGCCTCCTTAATCTCATTTCTTGGTTCTAGCAGCAGATGGGTTCAGTGATGTGTCATCCTAGGTCTCCAAATGCACATTCATGCACACCCTACACCACCACCACCACAAGGGAAAACAAATGAGAAGAACCTTCTAGAAAACTGTGTCTACACCTTATCTTGCAGCAGCCCTCGCCCTTGAAGGAGCTGGGTCAGGATCACCTGAGAGCTTAAAGTTTTGCCCCAGCCTCAACAACACAGAGATAACACTGAGCATGTGCTATATAGCAACCATACCTGTAAATACTCTACATAGCTTAAGCCCTTCACTCATTTCTTCCTATTCCCCAACTGGTCAGATACTATAATTAATCTCATTTGCAGATGGAGGAACTGAGGCTGGTAACAGGGCTGGTTGCCCTGTTAGATCTTGATGAGTGGCCCCCTGACTGTGAGGAAATAGTTATCTCAGTCCAGGTAGTGCTCCTTGTCCTGAAGTCCACTTTGATTAACTTTAGAGGGATACTGGGTATCCTACCTAGGGCCTCCAGTAGAGTTAAATTCCCAATCCTTTCACCTTGATATTAACAGAACCACACTAGCTCTTGAAGCTTTGTTTGCATATGCTTAACTTTTTTTTTGCTCTTTTAATCTGTACATGTGTTTTTACTGGAAATGCATCTGTTAGCTGGCTGTGGTGATGTGTGCCTATAATCCCATTATTCAGAAGGTAGAGACAGGAGGGTTGCCACAAGTTTGAGGCCAGCCTGGTCTATGTAGTGAGTTCTAGGCTAGACAGGGCTACATAACCTGTCTCAAGAAACCCAAGATAAAATAAAATAGTGCATTGCTTGCAGATAACACAGATCTTGCTTTCTGTCTAGCCAGACAATGTCTACCTTTTCATTGAAATGTTTAGTTTGTTTACATTTTTCTTTTTAAACCTTTGTGTGTATGATGTGTATGTGCGTGCATGTTTGTATGAGTGTGGATGCATGGCATGTGTGTAGAAATCAGAGGACAGCCTTGGTTGTCAGTCTTTGCCTTCTACCTTATTTAAAGTAGGGTCGCTTCTTGTTCACTGGTTGGCCCATGAGCTCCCGGGAAGTCTCCTGTCTCTGCCTTGCATCCTACCAAAAGAGTGCCAGGATCACAGACATGCAAGTACTGCATCCCACTTTACATGAGTTCTGGGGATCTGAACTCAGGTCCTCATGCTTATGCAGCAAGCACTTTACCCACTGAACCATCTTTCCAGCCCAAGACTGTTTATGTTTAATGCTGGTTTATTTTCTTGCTGGTTTCTATTATTTCTTTCTTTTCTTGTTTACATTATTTTGTTTTTATTTAAAAAAAATTTTTTGGTCTTTTTGGGATAGAGTCTCCCTGTAGCCCCAGCTCTCCTGGAACGCACTATGTAGACCAGGCTGGCCCTGAACTCACAGAGATCTGCCTGCCTCTATCTCCCGAGTGCTGGGATTAAAGGCGTGCGCCACCACACTCAGCTTATTTAAAAATTTTTACGTTTTATGTTGTATGCACATATATGTGTGTGGGCGCATGCCATACATATATGAAAGTCAGAGGACAACTTGTGGGAGTCAGTTCTCTCTTTCTACCACATGGGTCCTGGGGATTGAACTCAGGTTGTCAGGCTTGGCGGCAGGAACCTTTACCCACTATGCCATCTCACCAGCCTTATAGTAATTATTTCAAAACATTCTATATTATCCTATCTGTTTTTAGATATGCCTGTATGTATGTAAGTGCACCGTGTCGTACAATGCCGTGGAGGACAGAAGAGGGTATTGGATCCCTTGGAACTAAAGTTATAGACAGTTGTTAGCTGCCATGTGGGTTCTGGGAATTGAACACAGGGCCTCTGCAAGGGCAGCCAGTGCTCTTAAATGCTGAGCCATCTCTCCAGCCCCATAGACTTAGCTATTTTAAGAAAACAACCATCTAGGGCTGTTGAGATGGCTCAACAGGTTAACCTGTTGAGCAGGTTAAGGCACTTGTTGCCAAGCCCGATGGCCTGAATTTGATCCCTGGGACCCACACAGTGGAAGAGAGAACTGCCTCCTGCAAGTTGTCTTCTGCATTCCACACTAATGCTGTGACATGCATGTCCTGCCCCACCCCCAAAGTAAACACAATAAAAAAAGAAAAAAACAACCATTTATAGACACTACACAGAGGTGTGGCCAAGTGAACCCCTTCTATCTAACTGTTTGGGCAACTTTTTACTTTGATCTGTTTTATCCTTATTTTGTAAAGCAAGCAGAAAGTAACATAGATTTATAAGTGTAATTCAGGGCTGGAGAAGTGGCTCAGCGATTAAGAGCATTTGCTGCTCTTCCTGAGGACTTGGGTTCAGTTCCAGCACCCACATGGTAGCTTACAACCATCTGTAGCTACAGTTCCAGAAATTGCAATGCCCTCTTCTGGTCTTCTGGGCACTGCACACATGTGGTACACTTACATATGTGAAAGCAAAATACTCATACACATAAAATAAAAGTAATAAATAAAAACATATGTTTAATTCAGTTGAGGCACAGGAAGAAATGTGTCAAAATGTGAGCAGCATGTGGACATTCCAGCCTGAATTTCATACTCCACTGTGATGGAAACAGGACAAAAGGACAGAGCAGACACAGAAGGCTGGAACCTGACTGCTGAAGAGATGTTTACAGCTGTGTCAGGAACACAGCTCTCC